TTTTATGTAACTCTTGAAGACTTCTCTTACGGTTTTAAATATTGAACTTGTGTGGATCAAGGAAGATCCTGAGAGTAAATAAAATATAAAATCATGACTTCTGAAACAGACGTGCTAAATCCTAGAAATCAGATTGTATTAGCCTCATGAAAGATAAAGGGGACGAAGTTAGTTGATAAAAGAAAGGCGGTGAGAGCAATCTATTAAGTGGATTGGTTGGTTAGGGGTGGTTTAATATAATAGCGACATCACGGGGATGAACCCTTGGTTCGGTTTAATCAGTTGCTAACTCAATAACTGCCCTTTGAGGCCCAGCGAACCTTTGTACTGTCGAGGGGGCGTCCTTTATTATTTTTTAATATAAACAACAAGCAATATTCTTTTAATAAATATTATTAACCGATTGGATTATAAAGCGTCTTTGATGAAATAAAATTAAATTAAATCAGAATCCCTCAGTCTACTCAGAACCCTCTTATACTCCAATTTAAGATAAAATAAATAAGTTTCGTCTATTTAGGCATTACACAAAGGAAAGAGAAAAAAAAAAGATAAATACAGGCGTCTCACATTAAAAGTTATTTTATAGATAAAGAATTTCTGGTTTTATTCACACAAATAGAATATATATTCAAACAAATAGAATTAAATTAGACTAGTTGCTCCATGCGAATAATTGGCACAAGAAATGAAACAAATGACAAAATAATTTTTTTTTTAAATCATAGCAATATTAATTTTTATTGAGAAATATTACAACCTGCCTCAAAGGACATTTATAATAGTGTTAACAGATCACATTCACACTCTATGTACAGTAAATAAAATAAATTATACAGAAAAATAACATATATACAATAAATAAGAATAAAATAACCTAAAAATGAATAAATTAAAAGAACACATACATACCTATATACAATATTTACAATTTGGTGAGGGAACTCCAAACCAGACTTGTCTCTCCAGACAAAATAATAAGGAAACAAAATCATGCAACCAATATCGCTCCCTCCCCCCAATAATTTAAGTTAACAAATTATAACCAATAATAAATAAGCTACATGAATGAAATATGCAAAATAAATTCGATTAAAAATAGTCGACTTTCTCGCTAGGCTGGAGTCTCTAATAGTAAGAATGTAACTATTTTATTACATTTTTTTTTTGTTATTATTATTTAAATTATCAATTATATTCAAATACAATAATATATATATCAACATATCCTAGGATTTTATGATTCATTCAGCCTTTAATTTTACCTAACATTTTTATCACTTTTTCCGCGACTAACTAATCGGACTCTGGCAAAACGTTCTATTATTTGAATTTGTACACACTAATAAATTAAAGATATTATTCACTTCATTATTATCCATTTTTAGCTCCGATTTTTTTAGAAATGTTATGAGGGTTGTCTCTCTTCTCCCTTACGTTTTATTTAAATAAATACTTTATATATTCAATTTTTTTTTAGACATTTTCAAGTATAAATAATAAGCAAAACAGAAAAAAAAAATAAAAAATAAAATCCTAACAACTAAACAAACATATCAACAAATTAATTTTAAATAATCAATATTATATTTATTTACGTTTCACAATAATTATGTCTAATTTCTTTTCTTAATAAAAACTCCAGCTTTTGTTTTTTGGTCTATTCTCACGCGCCCTCCAATCAAAGTCTGCGACAGTTTAACATCAATCATGTGTAAAATCAAGTTCCGTTGGTGGATTTGCTATTTATTTTATTTTCCATTTTTCGAACCACTTTTAAAGATCAAAGATGTTTAAAAATCATAAATAAATGAAACACTATTCAAAATATTAAAACCATCAATGTTTTCCTGTATATCCGGTTCCTTGCCACCGAAGGTAGGGAAGCTTTGTGTTCATCACTGAAGACGTATGTCAAAGTCAAATAATATTTTTTAGTTTCTCGACTGTTGACGGTTAGTGATGGTACGAACTGATCAGAATAACTATATAAATTGGTTACTTATTAGATACATTAGATAAATATCGACCTCGCCTACAGATACGAGGTTTCATAAGTCAAAGTCGTGTAGTTTAAAGATATTAATCTCATTAAAACAAGTAAACTGCATTTTGGCATTTACGATGAATTATTTCTTAATAATCCATTCTGCAAAGCTTAAATTTTTCTAACCTTTTTCAAATGATAAAGTAAGATGTATTATATTTGATCTATATTCATGCAGCATTATTTATCGGTCTTGATGATGCCTCAAATTGACATATCAGTTATTTATTATCCCATAAACCTTCCCCACCCCATCTAAGATATTTTATTCCTCTCTTCTTCTTAAAAACAGTGCAAACGAAAGTATAATTTAAATATTCCTAGATTATGTACAATTATCCTGCGATCTGTTCCATGCTTCCGCTTGTCATTTGATTTGAAATTTTTCATTTTGAAAATTCATAACTCCGTAGAAATGTGCCCCCCTCATAAATTTCGATGCCGCAACATGCGCTATCCAACTACACCCTTTTCTTTAGTCCTTCCAATAATATCTTAACATAGTTCTGCCTTCGCTGCTCAGCCAATTGAAGGTTCGAAAGTCAACTCCCACCCTTTCGCAATCAGTGGCTAGCTGGGAGAGTTCTCGTAAAGATTTGAAATTCTAATAAAGAGAGAAGCAGACGGACTGTTTTTGTAGCAGTTACGATAATGCTAACCATTAGAGCTCAGAGCAGTACCACTACCGGTACCCGCTCCTAAGAACAGCCGCTGCGATTAGAATTACAAATCTTATACCGAGGGGCGAGGGGGGGGGGGCAGAGCTTTATGAGGCGCAAACAGAATAACTTGAGGTAACTGTTCCAATTCACCCTGAGTTAATTTAGCCATTCCAAAAGTGAAGGTTACATTCAGCGGCTGTCTCTACAATGTTCTGATAACTACATTACCATTCATAGTTTATTACTTATAAATATTCAACAAAATACATGTTCGAAGTATTACGTAAAAGATTTGCTCTAATACTCGTGAACAATATTGGGCATGTGTTCCAAAATCTAACCAACAATACTGACCAACGATCATCAAATATAGCCTCCAATATTTGAAGATTTGTCTACACATTCGTCAAATATTTTCCAGGGCACAGGTGTGGCTGAACCTTAAGTGGATATTTCTCGACGCAACAAATCAGAATTTAAACTCATAATTCGCCTTAGCAACAGCTATAAAATATTATATAAAGTGTTCTATATTTACAATATTATAAAAAAAGCTTCGCTTAGCAATAAAAATATGCAGAGAAATAAAAATATAAAAATAAAAGCATAATTGGTGAATGGTTGACTGTCGTGGATAATGAAGAGAAGAATAGTTGGGGTGGTCAGTCAAAAAAGAAGGCAAAAATAAATGATATTTATTTATTATAATATTTATACCGAACTGGACATCAAAATATTCTAACAACTTCATTTTACTGTAATTTTTATATTTCTCATACCTTGTTATCTGGTTCTTTTCTTAGCCCTGATGATGGCCTGAACTTCAGGTCGAAACGTCGGCATATGTAAAAATAAATATTATCATTTATTTTTTCCTTCTTTTTTGACTGACCACCCCAACTATTCTTCTCTTCATAAAAAATAAAAGGATTAAGTATATTAAAATTGTAGATAAAAAATAAAATCATAAATTTCTACTCAATATTTATTTTATTTGTTTCCCAATAATTCTAAATTAACTATAATTTTTAGTAATGCAAAACTTTTGAAGCCAAGTTGAATGTCCTCTATTGTATTTCTATTTTAATTTTTTAAAAATATTTTCCCCAATGAATTGTAAAGTTTTAGAGTAAAAGATAAATTATAAGTAAAGGATATGCCAAGAAGAGATTTCAGAGAAATTTCAAGTGAGTGCTGCACACTGAGAGATAATGAAAAAAACAATGTTTCGAATGTTTTCATTCGATTTTTATTTGTTTAAATTTTATTGGCTGATAAACAAAAATTCATAAACAATATCTTATGTATGTATTAGCAATATGATTATGTTTACAACACATTATCCCAAACGAATCCAGTTTTGTCGGTGGATTTACAGGAAATTTTACCCGTGAATGTATTAATAAAACAACAGCCATGTGTTAGAAGATAAATATTCCAATGCAAAAATCAAAAATAATTTTCAACATAATATTTCCGTAATGGTGTGGTGAGACGGTTATTTAATTGGTACTTTCATTTTAGGGAATATAAAATAGATTTAGTACGATTACTGGAATTAGGAGAACTGTTAGAGGATGCACCTCTAAAACATCAGAATGCAAATGTATTTTTTTTTTATTTATCAATATAATAAAAACTCTATTTTTCAAGTAAGGTGATTATGAAATTGAGTTTTTTCTCACGATTTCTGTCATGGGAATTGATGAATATTTATAAGTGACAAAATCAATGTTGCTGGTTCTAATATTTACGTTATCATGAAAATAATTGAAGCAATCAGTAGATTTTATTATTTTAAACGTAAATTTTAGTAAGAAACTAAAAGTTTGTAACTTATAAATGCATATAAATTCCCATGACAGAAATATGAAAGAAAAACACAGTTTCAGAACCATTTTACATAAACAATATTTGAAAAATCATTATTTTATAATCTTTTATTTTTTTGAATAAAATATGTATTCAGGTAACTATGCTTATGTTAACACATCCCAAATTACGGAAAAACATGAAATAGAAGCTTTACAACAGTTAATTGTAGTCATTTTTGCAAAACAAGGGTACTTGTGATTGGATAGAAAATCACAGAAATCTGAGAAAAAAAAACTAAGAGTATTTATTAAATTTACTAACATAGTCTTTGTTACTTAAATGGAATAAAAAATAAAGTTAGAAGTGTTACAAAAATATAAATAATACTGATGTGTGGATGACAGAAATATCATTCGACGCTGTTACCAGAGGGACATAGATTTAACCCATAATTGCCACGGAAGGGAACGAAAGGGCTAAACATATACAGCTGGGGCAGAGCCTCCAGGAGGGAGGATAATCCTCAGGGAAGAACCAGGATCACAAAGGAAGATCCCGGATCCATCCATCAAGCCAGCGGGCGATCCTGAAGGATGTATTCTGTACGAGGACTTCGCATCGCTTATCGCAGCCTCAGCTCGATCTGGTAATAACGATTCGCCTCTATCAGCTAACAGAGGGCGGCGCTAGATCTGTGAAGACAGTTCATAGTGGGTAATCTTGAGTTGAGTGACTTCCGAACATCATAAACGATATCATTTGATGCCTTTTTAGTTAAAGGAAGATGAACAGTTTTGATTTTGAGGAAACAGTTTCATCTGTTTGGAAAGTTTATGGTTACATTTCTGTAATTTTAGTACGAATTATAACAACGAAACGTTATAACAATGTTCTGTTATTGTTTAGTACATAGCCTTGCCCATTGCCATTGAAAATATAAAATACAAACTTTGAAATGAACGTGCTCTACTTTCTGCTACATGTAATTGTCCATGCGAAATTACTGGACGTCGCAATAATACACGAATTTTCCCAAAACTTTGACCCTGCGATTTGATTATGGTCCTGGCAAATGAATCTATTAATAAGAACGTTGTTCCTTGAAAGTCGAATGTAATTATTGTGTCAGAAAATATTAAATTAATTAAATAAAAATTCTTTTATTTAAAGTAGCTCCCTTCAGTACATCACTCTCATCGGTGTTCCATTAACTAATGCTTGTGCAGTATTTAAGTTAAGAATGAGTATAACAATAGAATTTATTTTTAAATTTAATTTATCAGGTAAAGTTCCACTAACATTCAATGGTATCATCTCTTCAAATAATTTTTTTTTATTTTTGTTTTTATTTTATTGAAATTTACAACTGTATTACATGGAAATATGACATTGGTAACATGACATGTACAACATGAAGAGAAACTCAAATTAAAGTTCTATATTAGAAGGCCCTGAGGCCATCTTCTTTTCAGACGCCTCGGAGGGTTATCAAGGATCGAGGAGGAAGCAAAGTTTGAAACGAGAGGATTCGGATGGTTCTGCAATTTGTAATGGAAGGATAGGTATCTGGATTGGGCCAAATCGGAAACATATGGAATCTTCAAATAATAGTCCCAATTATCTCAGCAAATGTAAAGTTTTCGATTTATCAAAAACCAAAATAAAGGAAACCGAATTTGCAAAAGAAAAAGTATTAAATGTTTAAAAAGATATATTTCTGCAACAAATAGTCCGATTTCGATGATTTTTTTTTATTTTGTAGGGAATTCAGGAAGCTTTCAAATAAATATTGGTATTATCTATTAAAAAAATGTGTAATTTTTTAGTTATTCTCAAATAAAATACTGAATTCCTCATAAATGTTTAAGCAGGTTGTTTTCAAAGCCGTATTGGCGCTACAGTCTAAAGCGAATCAGGTTTTTCGGCCGCCATTTCGAAAGGAAAGGCCGGATGATAATGGAACGTATAGAAAAACACTTCTAAATATTATTGCGACGTTGTGTCAAAATTTAAAAGAAATCGGTGAAGAAGTTTTGGAGATTAGCCGTTAGGAACAAACTACCATTTATATTTTTATTTACATACTATTCAATATTTGTATTTATTGATAACACTAAAGCTCGTCAATATCTATTAAAAAAAAATAAGAAGGAAGAAAATCGGTTGAATAATAGAGGAGAAAAAGGGGCTGAACCGTTTTGTGTTTGCTTATTTTTAGGTGCGTTTTGCACTTTCTTGTGGAGAGTGTATTAGATATAGTCGTCAGATCTCCGATGTGTAACGCTCGGGAAACGTCGGCTGGAGTCGACTAATTGAAGTGTTTTTTCATGCGGATTAAAATATCTTAGAAACTAAAAACCAGACTTGCATATTGTTAGCAAGGGAAATGTTCATTTCATCCTCTTTATAATGAGCTATTATTTAAAATTGTATTTTAACGTTATGCTGAATTAGAGAGTAGGCGAGGGAAGAAATAGTGTCCAAAACCAAATGATAACAAGTTTTATTGAAGATATGGATTAAAATATCTCATAAAGTAAAAATCGGACTTGCATACTGCAAGCGAGGGAAATGTTCAGCATTTCATCCTCTCTGTAGTGAGCTATTATTTGTGATTTATATTTCATAATATTAATCTCCCCTTTTTCATGTTTTTACTTTATTGTGTTGTCAAAAGCACACACCTTAGTGGTTTTTCAATGTGTATTCTAAAATTATTGTAATTTAAAAAATCCCATTCAATCAATATTAAATCCATCTAATGCAAATTGATTTCCCAACCGGCACAGTACGATAAGGGACCTTAACGATGAGATTGAGTAACGAATCGAGGTGTAATTGTAGAATCGATAATTCATCCACAAAGCTAATTCATCGATTTTAAGGCTATTAGTCAAGGGCTGGGGGCACTATCGGAAATTAACCAGGGAGCGGAAGGCAGTTCGCCAAGAAGAACAAATTCCGGAGGGGAGAAGAAGGGGGGGGGGGGAGGAAAACCGAGAAATGACAGGAGACAAATCGGCTAGGTAACTTCCTTCCTCCCCCCTCTCCCCCCCCTCAACAACATTAATAAATCGATTACAGGACAATCGATTTAAGGCTAATAATAACAAATGAATATTTTCAATGAATGTTCTGAACGATCTCGTTCAAACGCCATTATCGATCAGGCGTTCATTACAAGGTTATTTTGTGATTCGAATGGCTTAAGTATTTAATTATAATAACATTTACTACAAAATAATTAAGTAAATAATGATAATATATAATTAAATACTTAGATCTTAAACTAATATTTATTAATTTCGTAATCTCACTATTTCTATCAGATCCATAAAATATACGCCCCAACAAAAATAAATAATCTTGTACGCACATCACAACTTTCACTTACAGCTCTATTTAAAATAGAAATTATTTTCTCGCAATATTGGGTTACTCCAAAGTTTTCGAAGTGCATAATATAAAATAGTTTTGCCACTATTTAGCCTATTTATGACCGCCACCCCGGACCATCTCCTTCCTTCATAATACAACGGTCAACTATTAAATATTCAAAATACTTTGGCATTTACTCTTCCAAATTTTTCATTAAGACCTAGTTAAGTTCCCCCTGCATTAAAAATTATAGTTATATCTATATAGTAATAAGCTAATAGGTAACTGCAAAACTGTTGCGAGACTCTTGAGAAAGACCAAGACCAAGATCAAAACTGAGTGCGCAAGACCAAGACGAGTCTTGGTATCGCATTTCGGCAACATTGGTTGATTTAAATAAAATATAGCTAAAATTAAGTTAAGTTTATTTTTGCGTATTTATGAAGTTTTAATATATTGTTATAAAACTTTTTCCCGAATGTCCTGTGAAATTCGCACCCTCTCTCCCCCTGCAAGGTTGATCACTGATATCAATTGAAGTGTTTTTGCATATAGATTTAAATATCTAAGAAACTAAAAATCAGACCTACATTCTTTAAGCGAGGGAAATGTTCTGTATTTCATCCTCTTTATAATGAGCTATTATTTATAATCTATATTCCATATTAATAATCTCGCCTTGTCGATGTTCACTTCTATCGTGTGGTCTAAAGAACACACCTTATTTGTTTATTTAATGTGTATTCTAAAATTAATTTTTTTTATTTATTTATTTAGAATTATAACAATCTGTAACGTGGACAATAGTTTATATTGAGTGATACATGAACACATTTACACCATATATACAGAAAATAAATAAATCATCAAGACACGATGTTAATAAATTATACTATTCTAAAACATAGTAGTAGTATGGTTTATTTTATTTGTCTAAGGAAATTGCTGTACAAAAAAATATAATGGTATAATTAACAATGTTAGATCTTGAGTCTAGTACTGCATTCAAACATAACATTAACAATGTCCACAGCATTAAGTATGACTAATATAATAACAGATTAGTAAACGATATATAGATATTTACATAAACAATTAGTAAAATATTTTTTTTAAATACTCGAGAGGTATAAGACAAATGACAATATAAATAAGAATTAATATATGTTATAAGATTAACTTTCCCAGTTAACAGTTCAATGAACATCCCTGTATGAAATAATACAGTTGGTTTATTTTTTTCGTAGTGTCTATTTTCAGTATCTCCTCCACACTGGCATCTTCTCTCGATTCAGTGATAAATGCCTTCAAGTACTTATTTCTCGGCTCGTTGAACTTGATACATTGGATCAGAAAATGAGTTACCGGGTCAGTTACAAGGCAGTTGCATGCACCACATACCTCACTGGATTTAATAGTCAAAGTAGCATCTTTTAAGTATATTTTCATAAAATCTTTACTTGCTACTCTGAGACGACTAACGGCTCTTAATTTGTTCTAAAAGATATACCACAGCCAATCGAAACTTTACAAAATATTAATTAAAAGGAAAAAAATTGGAAATCTAGAGAACTATGAGAGTGCAAAACATGATTAGCTTCAGGATGAAATTTTCATCAAATTAATGAAACCTCAAGGTTTTACGCAGGTTGCTAAAATCTTCACCTCCTCAGTGAAGTGTCAACGAAATACTGGTCGAGGAAAGCAGACAATCTTGTAACAAAAGTTTAGGAAGTGAAGCGGAGAAAAAAATTTAAAAAAGAAAAAAAAAACTGAATGAGGTTCGAAAAATGAGTTAGGACTTAATCCATAACTTGGAGACTTGAAAACTTTTTATCGGGCCCTAAAAGCCGGAAATGAAGTTAGACTTTAACTAAGCATCAACCTTTAAGCTCATCTCAGCTTTAAAATACTTCACGACACGGAAATGTCAGTTTTACCTTTCTTAAAGACGAGATCTAACTTTGAGGAAAACATCAATTAATAAAGAAAATAATGTTGAGTGAGGCCGGAGTAGCGTCATCAACAATAAACTTAAACTATCTACTTTTTTTTTATAACTTAATTTCTTCACCCACACTTGTCAGATGTACTGGAAATCAGTGAATCTCCTGATGGGAGGAGTACAAGTAGTGATCGTGGTGAGAGAGAGGAGTGCCCTGCGGCATCCTTTCCTTTCTTGATTTTAGTATACTTTTTAAGCTAGGACATCCCTCGTCAAGCTTATTTTGGGCCTCTGAAGCGTGTTTTCGAGAATGCTAGTTGTACCTCATACCTTCTATGAGTGTGTCAGTATGTCCATGTAAGCTAACGTGAAATCTTGGTATGTTTAGATTTTTATTTAAAGTAATGTTTGTAACGTGCCATGGAGCTTTAATTATAGTGCTGAATGACTCAAAAAAAGGGTTTGTATGTGGGTCGGTTTGGTTGTTCCATATATCTGTGAAGCATAGGTCTATATAGGCTTCAGTAAATTAATTTAAGTGTTCCGTTAATTTTTTAGATTTAGATTTGAGCCTGTTGAAAGAAGTGAGTATAACAGCTGTAGTCTTAAGTACTTTTTTACTTTCACTTAAATATATTTGTAATATATAGTAAGGGTAAGTATTGCGATCGAGAAAATTTTTGAATCTGAGTTTTCGACGGATTTATACGTTTTGAGGTACCCTGAGTCGAAATGACCAAGTCCTGAAAAATGGTCTATGTGTCTGTGTGTTTGTATGTTAGCAGTCTAGTTCAAAAACGAAAAGTCCTTTGAAACTGATATTATGTATTTAAGATAGGTATATGCCTTAGATGTGACGGCAACTTTTTCCTTAAAATCGGCTAACCCGATGTACCACTTTATATCAACGCTGAAACACATTTTCACAATTTTCTCAAAAACGGCTCAAACGATTTTGATTAAACTCGGTGTATCATTGTATAATTAAGTGGTCTTTAATATCAATTAGGTCTTATCCCCATTGATGTCACTTTACAGGGCTTAAATGCCCAATGTTCATATACCCCTTCCTCTAAAGTACCTTTAATACGGTTCATTTTAAAAAGTTATTCATTTCACATTATTAAAAGTGATGAAACAATGCTAAATATAACTTTTGAAAGAATTTGATATGTTAATAAAGGAGAAAAAAAAATGCAGAAAAACCTGCGTTGCTATAGACTGTAGCGCCTAAACGAATGATCCGCTTTCAATGAAACTTCACTAAAGTCTTTTTCTCGACACCCTTTAAATTTATCTATATAACATACTAAAAAGTGAAAATTGTGTGTTGCGCGCACCAGATTTTTTTTTGTTGATGTGGGCCCCGTGTCATTCTTCTGTCAAACGCCAATCCGAGATATTTTGAATAACCCATTTTAGAAATTTCATAATAGTCAAGGCTATTTAATGAAGCAAAGATTTTGACCCAACTATATATGTCTTTACCAGGGCTAGAACAATTTGTCATATTATAATCGCGATTACGTTTATTTTTCGTATTTTTTATTGTATTCGTATGTAGGTGTATTGTTACAAATTCTTATTTACTCTATTATAGCTCGTGGTTTTCTGGTTTTATATTTGACTTTCCTTAATACTTTATTTAATCTGTTTATATTTTAATGTTTATAGTACTTTTTGTTTATTCTGTTTATAATTTTCTTATTTTGTTATCTAAATCTCTTGTAATTCCTAAACGTTTCTATGGCCTATGATATTGTTCATTCTAGACCTGATGAAGATCTACATAGTTGGGTCGAAACGTCGGCTCAATTGTTTTCATTATTCTAAGTTTTTTATGACCATCACCCCGGACCGTCTCTTTCCTCAATATCTGGTCAATCATTGAGTATTCAATGATGAGAACAATATTTTTTTGCTTAATATGTATTACAACTAAATCAATATCCAATAGGTCACCGAATATAATTATTTTAATATGAATTGATGGAGTAGCTATCCGGTTTAGATTAAGTTACGATGACCTTAATTTGGAATCCAACCTTACAATCAAACCATCTATTCCGCGAGACTATACAAAAAAAATTGACATCTAAAGAAAATTTTGAAAGAATTTTTTTTTAATATACATAATATTTATTTATTTTTTTTTAATGTGAGCATGAAAAAATAGCGGTTGAATTGAAGAATATTAGGCCAGTAACTTCAGTGTTGAAATGGAAAATTTATTGTGAAAAATCGCAGAAGGATGTCGCCATAACCAGGTTGAGAATCGACCAGACAAATCTAATGAATAATGAAAGACACATAAAAACAGTATTAAGTTTTCTTACAACTCATAGACTGTTGAATGGAGTACAGGAGCGCGAATGTATTTTTTCTCCATAAGAGTTCCTCAATGGAGAATAAAAATAAATGAGGCCCAGTTTAACGCCTTAAACCCTCTCCCCCCCACAAAAAAAAAAAAAAAAATGGTCGGTTTGAACAGCATGACAGTTACCTTTATGACAAGCTATACATTGACACTTCTGTCAAAGTAAACGTTTAGCGTGACAGCTGACAGTACTTGTCGTGGCAGTAAAGTTACTTTAACTACCTTGAGAGTTAACTGTCACAACATATATACCTAATGAACTGTACACCTTTCGAACCTATTTCTGTCCTTGAAATATATTTTATCCAATGTTTTGGCGTGGATTTAAGAACGATAATAAAATAAAAACTTGGTTTTATTAATTTTGTATAAATTATTTATTGAAATTAAGTTTATATATTATTTTTCTTTTTCGCTATTCATTCACAATTTTCGCTTACGGACGCAAACAAATTTAGGGACGGCTTGTTTGATTTGGCCCGACCATGGAGAAAAATGAGATTGAGTATAAATATGGTTTAATAACAAATCCATTCACTATTTTCGTCTATAGAGAGCAGAGTAGCTGAGTGGGTAAGCATTGACTTCCAAAGCTCAAGGTCATGGGTTCGAAACCGGCTGATGACAGGTAATTATTAATTGTATTAAATCAGTCGTGGATCGACACTGGGTAGAAACACCTAGCCTATATAAAGTGGCTACTCTAATTTTGCATTTTAATACAGAAAATACGCATCCAATCCTTTCAATCCAAAGTCCTCCGAACAATAGTGGATGCTCCGTTCTATGAAACCAACAAAACCCTACATCATGACCTTAATATCTCATTTGTCCTTGACCTTATCCTTGAAAGATATTCCAAATTCCATCAGAACCTTATCAATCATCCAAATGGCCCAGAGACCTTTCGCAATATATATCTTCTCCACTCAAGACATGAGTGTATGTGGCTAAAGCGCTCTCGCTCAAACTCCACTGGCTTTAGCAGCAGTGGCGCGATTAAGAGAGTAGCGCAGGGATCTCTTGGAGTCCTGCTTTTTCTTCTATAGTTAGGTGGAAAAGCCTGGCTTGGGGTTCCCTGCCTGATTGTATATATTGTATATAGGTATAACCGTGTTTTTATGCTTTTAATTTACTTATCTTTAGGTGATTTTATTTTTTATTGTACATAGTTTTTTTGATTATTAGTTAGTTATTATTTTACTTTTGTTAATTTTATATTTTCTGTATATATGGTGTCAATGTGTTCAAATATCACTATAATTATTGTCCACTAGACAGACTATTATATGTCTAAATAAATAAATTAAAAAAAATATGTATAGAAAATAAATGTATTTTCATATGTATGCCAATATTTCAAATACTACTTGGAATTGAGCTAAAGTAAATTCAGAGAATAGTAAAGTATTCACTATATTAAATTTCGTTCTCTACTGCCATTTAAATATGCAGAAACGTATTTTTTACAAAAACTAAAAGTACAATTAGCCCCGAAGGTAAGGTATAAATGAAGAGAAGAATATTTGGGGTGATCAGTCAAATAAAAATAAATGGAAATATTTAATTTGACATTTGCCGACGTTTCGACCTGAAGTTAAGGCCTTCATCAGAGCTGTCTCCAAAAAGGTTGCTGGAGAAAATTTTTTGGAGATTTTCTCCATCAACCTTTTTGGAAACAGCGCTGATGAAGCCTGAACTTCAGGTCGAAACGTCGGCAAATGTCAAAATAAATATTATCATTTATTTTTGCCTTCTTATTTCTGACTGATCACCCCAACTATTCTTCTCTTCATTACCATTTACCCACAATTAAGGTATAAATGTTACATCCTTAGCTTGGAATTATGAATCTTATAAAAAAAAAAAATTGAAGTTTATGTTACGTAGCCCAAAAATCATAGTTTGAACATTTTTCTTTATATATAATTTTAATAAATTATAATTTAATGTATAAAATTAAAAATTAATTATATTTAAAATCATAAACATTTTTAAGATTCCTAAATATGATGTTAAAGACAGCGCTGCCAATCAAATATTCGTCAGACTGAGAGAGAGGATGTTGAGAGGAAAGTAAGGTGAAACCTCTGTTCCGAGTTCGCTCTTGTTCCGGTGGAGGCGGCCACTTCCCCCTCGAACAGGAAATGGGAAGGACATTTCCGGCGAGGACGGCTCCCATAATGATGTCCCGCGGCACACACGTCGCCCGCGGTCGCCGATGTAAACACCGCGCGGCCCTCCTCAGATAAAACCGCTTCTGTCTCTAGGGTCGTCACGCAGCGACTAATGTTTAGCTCCGGAAATTACAACTTTTCAGTTTTGTATTATTCAAGTTTAACGGAACAATAACAATGATCGTTACACGCGAAAAGTATTTAATATCTTCTAAACTAAAAATATTTTTGAGGTGATTACATCACAGCGAATTAAATGGTCTTGTAAAATTGTTGGACTTAGCAACGAAATAATTTCTATAAGGTTGATATTTTCTGTACCGAATGGTAAACGTCCGAGGGGCAGACCGAAGCGAAGGTGGGAAGATTGTGTTGAAGCCGACCTGAAGGGACTTGGTTTGGACGGCGTCCGGTAGAGGTGTGTAATAAGCGATTGGTAGAGTCGGCATCGAATCTTTGGGTTCGCTAAGTCTTTTATTATTAATTTATTTATTGTTATTACTACACTAAAAGTTTATTATTAATACTTTTGGTTTATTATTTTCAATAATCAACCATTGTGATCGACCAAAAAATTCAAAAACTTAACCTCCTCTAAAAATTTGAGGTTTTACGTTTCAGGATGCGTAGAATTCTAAAAACGAATACAAATTGTTTTGTCCGTCCGCCGTCCGCTCATTTTCTCCGAAACTAATGGACCAATTTTTTTTTCAAATTTGGAAATAAAATCAGTGGTAACCCGAGGATGATCCTCCTTCATCGACATTACTATCCGCCTTTTAATTCCAATATGGTGGCCGAAAAATCCTACATTGCTATAGACTGTAGCTCCTAAACGAATGTACCGATTTAAATGAAACTTCTCCTAAGTCATTTTCTAGACGCCCTTTAAATTTATCTATATAACATACTTCAACGAAAAGAAGCTGGAAAAAAGTTACGAGGGATGTTAAAATTAAATTCCGAATAACACAAAAAGTTTACATTTTATTGCCGATTTTTTTTTTTTTAAATTTATTTATATGATATTTACAACTGTATACAGAAAATACATCTGGTAAATTCGCACATTGGTATAATGACATGGAACACATGTTGAGAAACTACCCATTGGTAGCACTCTAATAATATATCTATATTAGGAGATCACGTAGCCATCTTCTTTTCAGGCGCCTCGGAGGATAATCAGGGATTGAATAGGAAGCAAGGTTAGAGACAAGAGGGTTGGGATGATTATGAAGTTTATTATGGAAGGACAGATATCTGGATTGAGCCAAATCTGATACATAAGGAACATTAAGGTCATTATGGATGATTTTATTTGTAAAAAAGTAAGGAGCATTGAGGATTTTACGAAGGATTTTGGATTGTAAGGATTGGATGCTACAGGAATTTGAAGGTTTAGTGAAGCCCCATAGATCATTTGTCGATTTAAAATGTTTTTTAAAAGTTTACGGAATTTCCTAAAAAAAAAAATAGTTAAAATCGGACAATTAGGAGCAAAGATGTGGTCTTTAGTTCTTTTTTATATGTTCTATTCCAAACGTTATGCTTTGTTTAGTTTTTAAATTTTTACTGTATTACTGAAGTAATGCTATTTTTTTTTAGAATATTACTAATGATTAAAAAAAATTTAGTCCAATAATTGAAATCACCTTTTATTTATTTTTCTTTGTAACTAGGAAGGTAATGTTACTTTAGGTGTATAATTGTTTGGAAATACTAAACCATTGCTAATGAATATGCATTGCCATAATTCTTATATACTTTACATAATGTGATTCATTATATAGTATAATTGGTTTAGATTATTTTAGTTAATACAGATATCATTAGTAATTTCAAAAAAAGGCATCACTAGTAAGTCCAAAATATTTCGAAAGAGATTTTGTAAAGTTTCGGGATATTTTCTATTTTAAGTTAAATAATATAAGACGCAGCGAAATATAATTTTTTTTAAATCTTACAGTAAAATAAAAGATACATATATCAGTAGTGATTCCAAAATAAGCCAAAAACCCATAATATCCTAAAATACATTTTGTAAAGTTTTGGGCTATTTTTTATTTCAAGTTAAATATTATAACACAATGCGAAAGGGAATTTTTTTGAAGTCTTAGAGCCAAAAAAAATAAATAAAAAAATACATAATTTTTTTTTTTCCAAATTTACTTTCATGTCAAAAAAATACCTAATTAAAAGAAAAATTAATATTCTTTTTGAAAAAAAAATGTTGATTTATAATAATTATTTTTCTTGAAATAGGCGAAATGCTAAGAATTTTTGGCTACAGAAACCAAACATATTCTTTAATTCTTTGAAATTTCGCATCATATACCCAGAATGTATGAACACGTAGAGAAAACAATAAAATATTTTTATGGGACTACATTTAAAAAGGCAACATAAAATCAATTTCAAAGGAGCTCTGTCATGTTTTAAAACAATGGACAATGCTATTTCTTAATTCAATGTTGCTTTCTTCAAAAAATTTCATTAGAGAGAGAGAGAATCACTTTATTATCATAAAAGGGTGCAGCCCAATTACATTGGGTTGCTTTAAACACAGCATACTTATTAATCGCTACAGACAATTTTCCAAAACTAATTACAATTATATAGTATTAACAACATATATTTGTTGTAAAATAGTTTATTTTATTTTTTATTTAGGTATTATTTTTGAATATTACAACATTCTGTCACTTGGACATTAGTTATAGTGAGTGAGGTAGGATAACATTCACACTATATGTACAAAATATATAAAATAAACAGAAGAAAAATGACAAATAAATAATAATAAAAAAGTATATACAATAAATAAAATAAAATAACTTAGAAATAAGGAAATTAAAAAGTGCAAAAAAACACATACATTTCTAAATACACTATATACGAATTGAAAACTAAAGAAAAAATTTATGTTTTTGGAATAATTTTAAAAAAATCGAAAGGTTAAAAATACACTTTATAGCAATGGCTAATATGAAAGGGAACTGTCTCAAGTGAAGTAGAGGAACTTTTTCTCTCCTTTGACGTAAACTCCAGGCCTTTGAGAGCCCACAAAGTTTCCTATTGTTTCCTAATATTTCTATCGAATAATTTTAAACATTTTAATACTAAGAGAGATGTATAAAGAGAGAGAAGGTAGAGAAAGGAAAAAAAAAAACATGAACAAAAAAATATATAAATATTTATTATATTCATATATACTAACCATTTCTGTATATATTATATGAAATTATATGCCAGTTGTATATATTATATGAAAATAAAGTGTTTCTCTTCCACTTTTAAATGATTTTAAGATGAATGGCCTCACACGGTAACTTCGTAGCTGACTTCTTTATATTTTACTTATGATTTCTCTAAATATTTCCAATAATACGATGTTGAAATGGCAGCGAGCTCACGAGGCGAGATTACAGTTAGTGAGTCGTCGATTTCCACCAATTTTTTTCTCTGTTATAACACATCGAAAAATATTAAACACATGGCGATCTTTCTGATGGGTCCTAAGAGCTGAAAAGATAAATATATATAAATAAAATAAAGATTTTGTCTGTTCATTGAATTGAATCAACTCGGTTTATAATATCTTTCCGTTCCATACATTGCAGACACCAAATCCACTTTTAAAAATTTTTTTGTCTGTCTGTATATCTGCATTGCAACGAAATTATGTCAGGGGTAAGCTCAGCAATGGCTTATTGAAATTATTTTTGAAATTTTGGCATTATATTAAGGTTTGCTTGACTTAAAACATAGGCTTAAAATGAAAAAAAAATATTGAATAGAACCAAAGTTATGAATTCTTGAGTAATTTGTCTAGAGATCACGGTTAATGTTGATAATAATTCTTTATAATAAACAAATGTTTATAGGTTAAAGAACATCTATATAAATAAAATAAAAGTTTTGTCTATACATCGAATAGAACCTACCCGTTTCATGACATCTTTCCGTTCCATGCATTACAGACACCAAATCCACTTTTAAAAAAATTTTTGTCGGTCTGGATGTCCGCATTGTCCAAAAAAATTTTGTCAGGGTAAGCTCAGCAATGGCTTATTGTAGACTTTTGAAATTTTGACATTACATTTAGATTTGCTTGACTTAAAATATAGGCTTTCAATGAAAACAAAATATTAAGTAGAAACAAAGTTATGAATTCTTGAGTAATTTGTTTAGAGATCACGGTTAGGCAGTTACTTTGATTCCCATCCCAACCTATTCTATCGCGAGCCACATTTAAAAGTTGTACTACTCAACGGGAAAAATGCGGAATACCGAACATCTTTAATGCGTTGTCGCATAAAACGGGTAAACACACTCATTTTTCAACTTTGTCCGATCATCCCGTTGAAGGTATAATACATTCAACTTTCCGAGCCTAACAAATGTTGTATATAGTTTTAGGATTGACGGATAAGTCAGAAATCAGGAAAAAAAATCCCGAAAATTTCACTCCACCCGCCACAATATTCAGATCAAGTTCTAATTTTACACGGATGAAATTGAATTTAGACCCTCCTCCCCCCATCTCAAAAAAAGATTCTCAAATTTTAACTATACAGCCGTCAACGACGGGTACATCAGCTAGTATTTTATATAATTTCAAAAAAAAAATTATGTTATTTATTTCTGTCTTCGCTTGACCGGATTTTTAAGTTATTATATACCTATCAATTTTATAATTGGTAATTGGTTGACTGTCGTGGATAATGAAGAGAAGAATAGTTGGGGTGCTCAGTCAAAAAAGGAAGGCAAAAATAAATTATAATATTTATTTTTTACATATGCCAATAATATATTACATATACATATACATAATAAATAATATATTACAATTATTTTCTTAGCCCTGATGATGGCCTGAACTACAGGTCGAAACGTCGGCATATGTAAAAAATAAATATTATAATTTATTTTTGCCTTCCTTTTTTGACTGAGCACCCCAACTATTCTTCTCTTCATTATCAATTTTATAATTTGTGTGAAG